GCTCAGCTTCTGGTGGACGTTTCAAAAAAAAAGAGGTTTACATAGAAAAGAGATCGAATCAAGCAGTAAATCAATTAGATCAAAAGATAATTTTTTACTGATAACGTAGTTTCCGTGCACAGTTATTTTACCAGTAGTACACAAAAAATAGAAGCACTTTTATTCGATCGACGATAAGAATGTTATTCTAACGACGATCTATTCAAGAAAATTCATACAAAGAGGCATACACACCCGTTGAGAGAAGAAAACACGATTGTCGCCAAACGAGAATACGTTCTTTACGTAGTAAAATGGCATGAAATTAGAGCAGATATATCTCTCGACAACGTTTTTTCTTTACACGAACATTAGAATACGGCAAGTGGAGCAAAATAATGTTTGTGAGTACAAATGACGAACTATGATATGCTGCATACAATTTGGAACGTTTTTATCAAAAATTTAGTGATGGCGTCAGCATGAGCGATGAGCGCACTATGCTTCATTTTCCGAGTCAAGATCGGCACCCTATAATGAGATATGGCAGTGATCCGCACAAAGTAGAAAGTGAAGAGTGTGAAATAGAGAAAGAGAGAGAAATTTATGTTATTTGATCCCCAACATTATCCCACATTTTCAAGCGCTTCACATGGATGGAAATAAACAAAAAGTAGCTGAATGAGCCCTTATTTAAGTGCGTAGTTTCTTAAAACAGTGAATTCCTGCAGAATACCTGCCGCTCAATGGATGACACTAGCGAATGCGCTGCAATTATTGCTCTCGGAGTTCAATAGTGCACTTAAAGCTTCTATGAAGAAATCTCTTCAGCTCGCTTCTGCCTTTACTGTAGCTATGGCAGGTCCATTATAAAAAAGGCCACATGCAAACACTTACATGAGCTATTTTAGCATCCAACATCCGGAAGAAATCCGCTTGACTCGCGCTTTCGACTTCTCTGAAAGTAATCGTTGAAATCGATAGTATGCGAGTTGTGACTAATGTCGAAGACGTTCCCATCACATGTAAATGAGCCTCGCCAATTGCTAGAGCGATGTTCGATGGAAATTATGTCCGAAGAAATAAAATCTCTCACCCAATGGGTTTCGCCGTCAAACTGCTGTTTGGTGAATAGCCGTTCCTAAAAGGGTCAACTTGAATGAGCATATACCTTTCACCTGAAAAGCGAAGACTACATAGGACATATTGTTTCGTTTTGTTATTTGCAAGCTGCTGGCATTACCCATAAACTACGTACTGCTTAAAATGAATAATAGATAGAAATTTTGAAATTCGCTTGAAATGCTAACAAAAGGAGACTCTTGCTGGCTTTTCTATGGT